GTGGATACCAGTGCAATCGTTTCTCATTAAAAGAAATTATCTATACTCATCATTCAAAGTTGGTGTGTATGATGTAAACGTTTCCAAACTGATCCTAAAGGCTGGGCAGCGGGCACGAAAATCAACAAGTTTTTTTCAGGTGACAGGAAAACTCAAGAGTATAATAACATCACAAACACCTAATAAAGTCGACTTGAATGTTCTACACCGGAATATTCAAGGTATATCTAACAAAATTGACGAAATAAATATATTCTTAAAAACTAATAACTTTGACGTTCCGTGTTTTAGCGAACATTGGATTGTGAATTATGATATCATGACCGGTATTAATATTGAAAATTTTAAACTAATTTATAATTTTTGTGTGTATGTTTGCTCGGGCCGAGGTAGAGTGCAGGGCTATAGATGTTGACTGATATAATTTAGAGATAGAGGCGGTGTTCTGCGCGTTGGTGATTGTCTGTAGTCATATATTGGTAATTGATTCGTACAGATCCTGCAGTGGAAACTTTTTTGAGGCTCTTCTTAATGACATTTCTGATAAATGTCTGGAAATTATAATCTTTGGTGACTTCGATATTAACCTTAAGGCATTCTCCAGCAACTTAACGGGTTTCCTGTGTATTTTAGATTGTTTTGGGTTGGGTAGATGAGGGTTATCAGCAGTGGCGTGCCTCAGGGCTCCGTCTTGGGTCCGCTACTGTTCACTATTTACATCAATGGTTTGTATCATTTTCTGTTTCCTAACACATTTGTGACTTACGGCAATGACTCCAATGAACTTATGCACAATGTTGATAATTTTGACGATAAAGTAAACACATGTGAGGCTCTTGGGAGTAACGCTTGACGACAGTTTAAATTGGGCCCCTCATATTAACATCTTGTGTAAAAAACTTGCCTCTAACATTTTTTGTAATCCATAAACTTAAAGGACTTGTTACCGTGGGCACATTGCGAGTTACCTATTTTTTCTCTTTTTCACTCTCATATAACTTACGGCATAGTTCTCTGGGGTAATTTTGCTACAGCAGACCAGGCATATAAAACTCCAACCGACCAACCCTGTATACTTTTGAAAATAACCAAGAATAAAGATTTATAGCACTGGATCTTGTGGATCTTTTCGTTCGATAAATTTTACGATCGCAAAACCGGTTTTTGAGAAATGGCCTTTTTCTTAGACCCTTGCGAACGCGATTTTTCATTTTTTTTTAAATACTTTCCAAACCCCAGCAACTCCAATTTCAATAAGTTCCATCAAGGGACGAAACGCTATTTGCTTGTCAAATTTTTTTCGACCCCAATCATTTTTGCACCAATGGGGCTCCCCTAGGACCTACCGTCACCGAGATATAACATTTTTATACGAAAATACTTTCGAAAAATTCGATTTCATCGATTTTCGAGACCAAGTGAATTCTCATTTTCAACCCTACAACTTTTGTATAACATTTGTGTTTGTAAGCATGAAAACAAATGTGCTAGGAAGGAAAATCGTTTAGTTTGGTTTTTCTAAAATAAATCCTAGTCCACATCTGATAATTTAATAAATGCATTAATTAACCGACCTTGTATTTCTCATGGTTTAAAAGTTACCGCTTAGCTTTTATTTTCAATCACCGATGAAATGAGAAAGTGAGGTTAGAGAGCAAAATATTGCGTGAAATCATAGAATCACGTGCGAGCGTCGTAGTTGATAATTTTGCAGTAATTAATAGCTGAGTTAATGTATATATGCGCATATTTTAAGTTATTCATCGCGTTGGAATGGCTGAAACGATGAGAAACGTTCCGATATACATACGTACATACGCGGCTTGTTTCAATAATGCCCTATAACTTAATTGAAATTAATTTAATCTAGCTACATCGAACGGAGCGGCGCGTTCGGTATTGATTTTCGAAGCATGGCGCTGTCACTATCTATTATGACGTGATTGGCTGAGAGATCCGATAGAAAATACCTTTAGATAGCGAATTTTTAGCTATTATGTGATTTTATTTTGTTCTCCGAAATTGTCACTAAGCAAAAAAAATTAAATTAGTTTTATGTGCTGAGAAAATTGGTTTCGATTAAAAGTAGTCAATTATTAAGTAAGTGATAGATTATTTTTCCTATATAAAACTGTACTTTTGTCTCAACGTATAAATCTAGATTTCAGTAGCTGGCAGTGCTGCCATTTCTACTTTTCTTTTTCTTCGTTACTTCTGTTGGCACATACACATATACATATAAACTGATGATTATATATTTAAAGAAAATCCGTAATTATTGTGTTCTCTAGGGCCAATTTTTGGGCAACTCACAAACAGTTAATGTTACAATCTAGGTTACGTTAAAGTACTTTTTTTTTTAATTAAATTGTCTATAGGTATTTTGTATCATCGTTTCTGCTGAAACACCAACACTTTTTTTCGTTAGCATTTTTTATAATATTTGGGAGACGTTCCTTCTTCCTGTGTGGAATCACTTCCAATGCTGCGGTGCAAATGACATGGTTTCCTTCATTTCCGTAATGATTTTGGTATAGTTTTCGGGTGTTATGAGAATTTTTTTGAAACGCTTGTTATGGCTTTTTCCAAAAAATAAACCAAGCACCCTATTGGAATTGTTTTTCAAAGTTCCACAGTTACTTCTTGAACAATTTTTTCCAGTTAAAAATGAACAGCATTTGTACTAAATACCTTCTAACTCTATCGGAAACCAGGCGCAAAGGAAAAGGTACAACAAAATACGAAAATTACATGGTATTATATAGTGGCATAGAGAAAACCGATAAAATAACAAATTCGGAAGTTGGATTTTTAATAAATGAAAAATTTATACCACACATAACTGATGTTAAGTACGTAAATGATAGAATTTTAATAACAACACTGAATATTGAAAAAACATCAACGCACATTGTATCGACCTATGCATCAGATGCCGCCAAACCAACGGAAGAATATGTAGCCTTCTGCGACCAAATACAAGACGAACTTAATAACATACCATCTAAAGACAAAATAATTATTATGAGAGACCTGAACGCAAGAGTGGGAAACGAAATACTAGATAGAGTAATGTGCACACGACGAACCAAGAATTAACAACACGTTCTTCCAACACAAACCTCAACACACATATACTTGGGCACATACAAGAGGAAGGAAATCCGTAATAGATTACATAATAACTAATAAAAACATATAGCCTAAGAACATAATGGATGTTCGAGTACTATCCTCAGCCAACATAGGATCAGACCATCAATTAGTGTTAAGCAAAATCAAATTTTATCAAAACAAACTAGAATTAAAAATAGAAGAAAACGAAATAACACATGACGATGATGTAGAACAATGCTGGAAAAAAATAACAAACAACATAATAACAGCTTCAAGAGAAGCACTTGGAACAAGAAAGATAAATGTAAATAACAAAAAAAGTCATATGCAAAAAAAAGCGATGCAAACTTAAAATATAGAAGCAACAAAACATCAGAAGAACACGCAAACTAAGTAGCAACGAGAAACAAGGTGAATGCAAGGATAAAAACCATCAAAGAGGAATATTAGGAAAGATTCACGAACGACATCTAGCACGAATAACAGAAAACCACGTGGAAAACGCAATACGAGAAGTGAAAACACACAAAGCACCAGGAGAAAATACGATCACAAACGAACAAATTAAATATGGCGGAACAAAACTAATAAAGAAAATAACAAAAATTTTCAATAAAATAATTAAAGAACGAAACATGCCTCTAGAATGGAATAAAAGTTTGACTACATTAATATTTAAAAAAGGAGACAAGAAGAAGCCATCAAACTATAGGGGAATATCATTGCTAGATACAATATCGAAATTTTTCACCAGAATCATAGCCGAAGAACTAAGAGCAACAATTCCGATATGCGAAGAACAACAAGGTCTTAGAAAGAACAGATGAACAACAGGTGCCATCTTTATAATTCGCCAGTTAGGGGAAAAGTCGACAGAATACAACAACCCTATCTTCATGTGTTTCGTGGACCTAACAAAAGCGTTTAATGAAATAGTTAAAGAAAAAAATGTATCTTCTAAAATAATAAGGATCATAGAAGAACTCAATTACAACTGGTCCACTAAAATAAAAGCTGAGGGAAAGGTAAATGAAGAAATAAAAGTTAACACAGGAATAAGACAAGGATACAGCTTAAGTCCGTTTCTATTTGACCTGATTATGAACAAAATGATAGAAAAAGTAAAAAGAATAACAGTGTACAAAATAGGAAACACAAATATCACGATTCTATGTTACGCGGACGATGCGGTACTGATATCTAATAGCAAAGAAAACCTACAAAGAAGTTACGCATATTTAGTAAAACCGCAAAAGAATACGATGTGGCAATATCAACAGAGAAAACTGAATGTTTAACAGTATCTAAGGAACCAATAAGAGCTAGAGATGGAAGGGACAATCATAAAGCAAGTAATGTCATCAAGATACTTAGCAGTAGCCACAGCAGGTGCGTTAAGGGATATAGTGTGGTGAAATAAACATCTAGGAATAGAAACGAAAACAAGAATCTATAAAACATCAACAGATCAATACTTACGTATGCCATAGAAACCAGAGCCGGAATGCAATAGCACAGGTTAGCAAAGATCACAAGAGATGGAAAACCCAAGGAAAAAAGATCAAGAGGAAGACCACAAAAAAGATGGTAAGATAGCTGGCCATCAGAATTGGATTTAATGTGGGAATAAGAAGAAGAAGAAGAGGAAAACATCCTAACACAATTTTTTTATATATAAACTTTAAAAACGGTTCCTTGGTGTATCCTTTTTATAAGTCGGTGACGAACTGAGAGTTTTCTTTTAGCTTATCAATAGGAATGGACTAATGTTTTCAATTTCTGAATTATTTTGCACTGAAAATAGCTGCTAATTTTGTCTGTCAAATTTCTTGCAATTCCATTGCATATGCCGCAAAATAAATGAAAAGTCTTTGGTACGCAGTTATTTTTTTTATTCGTTTAGTCTCGAAAATAATTTAAAGAAATTAATTTACAGAGTTCCGGGGGCGGGGGCGGTGTTGAGGTGATGGCTGAATGCGTGGGGGCCTTGGGGAAGGGGGGCGGTGTGCACCGCGCCCCGATTAGCCGCCACGTACCTATAAATAAAAATAATAAACAATCCGGCGAACTAACCGACACAAAGGGGTAAAGCGCAAATTACCCGGATTGGATGGCGGCGACGGGGGCAGCGGCGTACGTCACAGGGGCGTAAGCGAACGGGGCCGAGTAGGCGAGGGGCGCGGAATAAGCTAAGGGGGCGGCCACACCGTACGTGAATGCCTGCGGCACGGCTATGCCGGCCGCGGCTATGCCCACGAGAGCGAAAAGAGCGACGATCATTGCCTGAAAATAAATACGAAGCTTTAAGTTTACGTGGGCGAACGGCCTCTGTATATGCGCCCACCATGATTCGAAATGGGCGGAAAATATCTTGATTCTTGGCAATAACCCATAAACAGGCCTTATGAAAGAGTAACGCTTAAATAATAATAATAATATTAAAATAATAATAATAATAGTAATAATAATAATAATAATAATAATAATAATAATAATAATAATAATAATAATAATAATAATAATATGCCTTTTAATTATAATTAAATTATAAAAAAGTAGTATATATCAGGGCCAGTATTCACCTACAAATTACTATTACTTTAGTTACTTCTATACAACAGAATTAGTTAATTGCTCAATGAGAAAATATATAACATAATCTGAACTTATTCTTTTTTGTATATTTAGGTATACTCGAAATCAGGACAGATGACATGAGAATACGCTTGGTAGCGTAATCGTTATCTTTCCTGAATTCTTGCATATATTTAAAGGTTTCAATGTTAACATGGTATCTCTAATATTAAGATTATACATGCTGCAACTAAAAATTAAAAACCAACTGTTTGATTTTCAACCAATTAGTCTTAGTGTAAAAATGTGGGATATGATCTAAAATGTTTGATATTGTGTTTTCGATTTCACTGTGGATCTTGTAATTGTTTTTTATGCGTTGAACAAATTACAAACTTCTTTTTGAGTTCTCGCTTTTCTCTATATCCAATAAAAATTAAAATTAAAATTTTCAGAGTTTCATTTAGATGTACCATATTCACCTTCTTTACTTTACTACTTACCTGTTCATTTTAAAATTAAAATACTGTTTTTTATTCTTTTGCACATAAAAAGTAAGAGGTTCTTTGCTACAGTTAGTTTTCGTTATTATAAATAAGTATCATTTCTTTTTCTTTCTATTTCTTAGAGGTTTTTATTTTTTTTATCAAAACGTATTAACTTTAATCCACCAGAATTAATTATAAATAAAAAACGTAAAAAAACTATTTAGAATAAATTTGAAATAGAGGAAATTTGTAAAGACAGCCTTATGGCTCTCTTTTCTGAATTACCGCTGCTTGCCCCTACCTTCCTTCAAGCGTATTACAAATACGATCTGTTCTCTTTTTATATTTTTTTTCTACATTGAACGAAGTTTTAAAAAATTATAATTTAAAAAAAATGAAATTCGTAAAGTCATATAGGGCTGTATTTTCTGACTTAACCGCTGCTTTGCTTGCTTAAAAAATATTAGAAATACGATTTTTTCAATTTTTTTTTTATAAATTGAACGAAGTTTCAAAAAACTATTATTTAAAAAGAGATGAAATTTGTAAAGACCTAGGGGGCTATATTTTGTGAATTACTAACGCTTTCCAATATCTTCCTTTAGAATTGTATTAGAAATACAATCAGTTCTATATATTTTTTTGAATATAATTTAGAAATAGAGAAAATTCGTAAAGACATCTGCTTTGAAGAAAATTTTTTAAAATAATGAAAAAATTTTTTTTCTTAACAGTCAAGGCCCTAAATCAATATAATATACAACCTAGGAATTAATAAAAAATTTGATTTGATTTAATCAATGATTTCATTTATCATAGTCGTCCCTATTTAGGGCTAAATCTAATTAGTTAAGCGATTGTATAGACAACAAAATTCTGCGAAACACGAAATTTTCAAACAAACAAATTTAATTTGTTCGGTTATTTTAACTGACAAATACCGTTCGAGCGTTTTAATTAAAAGTAACAACAACGCTCGACCGGATTATTTCGGATTCCGCGATTGTTTTTTTTTTTTGAAAATAATTCACAACTTAACAAATTACGAGGCGAATATTAGTTATCATTATTTCTTACCTTCATTTTTAGCGTCGTTTAATACCTTTTTCGGGACCGAAAAACTGTATACGTTTGTCGCTCTTCGGCCTGTCTTTTATATACCCGAATTTCATTGCCGATCGTCTGGTCACGTTGAGGGGACCACAGCTTAATAGCCCCACTCGTTTTACGAAAAAAAAAAATGTTCAAACGCGAAACCAAAACCGGACCGGTGCAGGAACAAACCTTGATATTGATATTTAATACGTTGGATTTATCATAATTAGGTTACTTTGGGCGTGTCTCCTATACGAAAAACAACTTTTTAAGGAAGTTTAAGTAAGGTTTAAGGAATCTGTCCCTGCTATTTTTCAGGGTAAACGGTCTGCATCTAATAATGATTTTTTGACCAATAATAATTAATGATAATTATTTATACAAAGTGTTGTTTTTATACCGGGTGTCTGTTTATGAGGAAACGGACGGTCCTCCAAAGAAGAATGAGAAAATGCTATTGATTATTTATGAGTTCCTGATATAGTTACTACTGGGTGTAATTGTAATTAAGATTTTTAAGACACTTAGACAATTAGAGTGAGTACTGTCTTCAAGCTGAGATAAATTTAAATCTTTTTTGTTTAATGCCTGTCTTCTATCTCTGAAAGAAAAAAATACGAGTGAGGTGATCGTGAGTGTGATTGTGATCGCATTAGAATTAATTTTCAGAAAAATATGTAACGATTTGTTTATTTGCGTAATTATATAATCAAATAATGGCCCAATAACTCAATGGAAACTGGATCTCCATTTGCCCTAATCAAAAGTCTGAACGTCTTCTTCTTCTTCTTCTATATGAGGCACTTCTACCTGTTTTATCTCAATGTAATTTTTATCACGAGTTGTCGTTCCATCTTTTTCGTGGACATCCTATAATCATCCCACGGGCAGGCGATTTATCTCTTGCTATCCTCACTATCCGTTGTTCAGACATTCTACCTATATGTTGATTCCATTCTTGCTTTCTATTTCTTGTTCAGGTGTTCAATTCCACATGCGTGTCTTATGTTTTCATTTCTTTCTCACAGAGTGTTTTTTCCTGTTATTTTCCTTTTTGTTTTCATTTCATTTGGTTCCAAACATTTCTGAGTCTGAGATGTTTCCGGTCTTGTTCCAGCGATATATTTCATTTGTTCTTCCATATCGTGTCGTTTCGGCATCCTGGTGTTCAATTGACTTTTGCAGTTTGTTCTCTTATTTCATCAACATGTTATTATCACATGATAATCTAATTCCTAAATATTTAATGTTCATTACCTGCTCTATAATCTCAAGTTCCAGCTTACATCTCATTGGTTCTTTAGAGATTACTAGTGATTTAGTTTTTTTGCAAATCGTGCAGTTTTCGTGTTTTTTCTATTCTGTTATTTATCCCTTTTTCTTGGTTTCTTCTGTTCTTTATTTCTATTCCATAGTAATTGAAGCTTGTGACCTGCGGCATCATTATATCATCCAATTTTATATATCTTTTTCTGTATTCATTTTCCATCACCACTACTTTTGTCTTAGTTTTATTTAGTTTCCTTCCAAAGTCCATAAAAGCATTATTCCAGATCGTCTTGCTATTCTGTAACTCTGTAACTTTTCCGGAAACCTATTAGACCTTTGGCAAATGCTCCTTTGGATACTCTTACATTTCTCATGTATCTGTTTTACAGTTGTTTTTCGTCAATATGTGAAAAGCAAAAATCCTGCTTTGGGATGTGAATGGCTCTGAATTTTTTTTTTTTTGGTATATTACATACCTACCTAATATTTTCTTTGCGTATATTTTTCATCACCCTTATCATTTTGCTTCCGATTCCTCTTTAAAGTAGAATTTTCTATAGTTTGTATAGTATTTTATCAAACGCTTTCTCCAAGACAGTGAAGCCCAAATATATTTCATTATCCTGATCTGTTGCCTTTTCAGCTATATATATTTTTTTACTTCCTTCTGTAAAATACCTAATTATACACCGATCTGGAGTGCGGGAAGCGCCACTTTACCAAGTGAGTTTCTTTTCCCATGGATCCGAGCCACTTCGGACATTTCCGGGATCTTACCGCACGGGTCTGGAAGGATTCGGATGTTTTCGGAGATTTTACCGCACAACTTGAATTTTGACGTTTGTCAATTCTGACGGTCTGTCAGTCAATTGTATTCGTGTTTCTTGCAAAATTGTACCCAAAAACTAATACACAGGAAAATGTTATGCAATATATCAGACAATTGAAATACTACGTGCTATATGCTACAACTAAAAGCTAGTGGACCAGTCGATAAGTAAAGTGACATTTATAATTTAGATTTCCCACAAAAATTTTACATACCGTTCGCATGAACTTTAGTGGTTTTAACAGTTTTTATATTAATATCTTGCCAAGACCAATTGTACGATTTTGACATATCCATGTCTCATCAGTAGAAGCAAAACAAAAGGTTAGGACTAGGCTTTTTCTTCCTCATATCTTAAAAATTTAATGCTCTTTAATCTCTATCCTTAGATGATTTTTCTTACAATTACAGTCTTTTTCTTTAAACTACTTAATTATGGCAAATAGTAAATATTTTGTTTGAATGGTGTTATATATGGTAATAATTGGTATATTATGCAGTAAGTGCGGTAAACGGCATTTGACTCACGAGTTTATTTGACACCAGCGGAGCGCAGCGGACTAATTATTATAATATATAATTATATATTATATTATATTATATATTTTATAATTTTTTATAATTTATTTTTTTTAATTTTTTAATTTTATTTTTTATTAATTTTTTTTATATTTTTATAATTTTATAATTATAATAATTACTGCAAATATATGACTCTGTATACTTCTTCCCTTTACTGAACTATTAGTAAGTAGTAGAGATAACATAAGCAATTCAGATTTTGCTTAACTGTTGTTTTGTTTCCCCGAAATACTATAATAAATAAGTTCTGTCCTTAGGAAATTTTTTCCCTAAACTCAAGAACCGAGAAACTTGTATTTTTAGCTACTTGATCCGGAAAAATAAAAGCTTCGGCGTTCGGCTCGACCTTACAAGTAAAAAAAAAACTTTTTTTCCTTTGTTATCCCCCTCCCGGAGACCACCAGATATTGAGGGCGCGGTCATTACCGGACTGCCCCGAGTTCGAAAGTTTATTATTTATCGGAAAATTGAGATTGAGAACGAAACTTTTTTCAAGCGCCTCGAACGGATATATATATATACGGACCCCAGAGACAAATAGGCGCTCCGTTATGTCACTTTGCGTTTCCTTTCACATAATCCCGGGATCGGTGATTTATCCCGGCTCCGCTTTAAAGGGTAACAGCCGGCTGGAAATCTGGAAATCCTTAAGTAAATATTTTAGTTCCGTGCAGAAACTACGTCTGTTATATATAGAGGAATCCAGAGGAATCACACTCTGGTTCTTCGTCCTTTAACATTTTTATAAATTTGCATACCATCAACTTCTTCGAAAATTTACTAACAGCTTCGCGGAGGTGGCGGTGGTGGTGGTATACAACTGAATTCTTCTAATCAACTTAATGACATTCCAAGCATTCCTAAATTTTCTTGTATAACATGCATAACGTTGTAATTGATTGACTTTGTAAAATAATATATAAACTCAATGTGGCTGACTCTTGTTACAACGCCTAAGCAAGTGATTGGTTGAATGGAGTGAGACATATTGGAATATTCATTCCAGCCTATATCAACTCACTGAGCGTATCCCTTGTAATATGGTAGAAAGTATACTATATAAGTTGTCGAAAAATATTCTCAAACTTCTCAAGATCTCAAGAAGGGCATTAGCATCTGTTTTTCATATGACTTGTTATTCCTTTCCGCCGCTGCGTAACTCCCTAGTTAGTTATGGAGCCTTATTTAAATTCATCTCCATGATTAGATACCACAGCTGGGCTCTGGTTCGGCAGTGGTCCTTCCATAGACCTATAAGACCTTTTGATGAGCATATTGCTGATTTTGGTCTAACCACCCCACAAAAGGGTCCTCCTCCGATCATGCGGCCTGAAGCCATCTCGGGGTAGGTCGCCGGCCCTTTCGTTACCTTGGTGGCGGCTTTCTTGCACTGGCACCCACATAGTCACATTTTATTTTGACTTGTCATGTCGTTTAATGCCTTGTGAAACACCAACATTCACTTGGATGGCATTTTTCCTGGATTTTTCATTAGGATTCTTTTTCCTCTTGATTTTTCTTGCACGATGTTCGAGTGAGGTGATCTCTATTTCTAACACCGTTAGATTAGCTTCTACTCCCTCTTTAATTTTTGAGCCCCCTGTAATAGATCCCCAGTATAATTTATGTACGCACTTTTTTCTTAAATTTTGATTTCTATTCTCACTAATACACTTAACCAGACACTATATTTTACACACTTATATTGCAAATTTGCACCAACGTTATAGCGTATTGCAAGCCTAAGCCTATATTTTTTAAGTAAATTGGTGATAAATTGAACATTTCAGAACGCGGCAACAAAGATAATAAAAACAAATCAAAATTATCAGATTAACCGTAGTAATTTTTTTTGTATTAATTTCACCTAAACTCTGTATAGATGGCAATTGTTTCATTAGGATTCTTTTTCCTCATTATTTTTCATGCACAGTGTTCTAGTGCCACTTTTAACTCTGTTGCTAACTTGCCATTGGAATAGAATTTATTTATTTTTGTCTTATATTCATATATTTCAGCTTCTAGTCCCTTTTTCACCAATGCACTAAAAGAGGCACTATATTTTATTTTTTATTGCATATCTGCATATTTGAATTGCGTTTGTATATTTGCATATTGCATATTTGCACCAATTTTTCAAAAACTATAACGTATTACAAGTCGAAGTCTATATTTTTAATCTGTTAACCTTAGCTAATTTTTTTTATTAATTCGGGCTTAACTCCTGACATCAAATATGTTCCCACACGCCTACTGTCGTTTGTTCCCTTTATCCGAATTGTCTTCATCGATTAAAACGGATTATTTTCTTAATCCGTCGACGAAAAAAAAACCCTTGAATGAAAATATCCCCCGTTGCTTTGCACGGGAATCCCGTGACCCCCCGCCACCTCCTGGACAACCCAGACGAGATTGTTGGGGAACGGTCGAGAGTTCTAAGACGCGGGGGATCCCTAATGAACTCGTCTCTGTCCTCTGTCGAGTTCTCCCTCTTTC